AATGAAAAATTTGTATGATCTGATAAATAATTATTATCAATATTATCTAATTCAATCCTTAATTTTAGATCTGATATAAATATATATATATTTATATATATTTTCCTTACATTTTCGAACTTTCAAGTTATGTCATTATTAGAGAATAATATACAAATTCAAAATGAACTTTTAACGGGTAAATTATTTAGAAATAAAAATATTTTTAATCTCCCCCCCTCCCCTTCACGGGGCGTCGGCCTGGGCAAAAAAAATCGTCAAACCACCCAAACCGCCAAAGTGAACTGATTCGGTTTGGTTTGGTTTGGTTTAGGGCAGTCAAATGGTTTGGTTTGGTTTTTTGTAGACAAAACCATATTGGTTTGGTTTGGTCCATGGTTTGAATACCAAAATCAATGGTTAATCGCCCAACTCGCTTCAGATTTAAACATTTTTTAGAAAAAAAAAAAAAGAAAGAAAGAAGTGGTACTCACAGACGGAGTAGGATTGTAGGAATCAAAATAAACATGGCAATCCACTAACCCTAAATCTCTCCAAGTCTCCAATCGAGCCTCAATTCCTCATTCTTCTCCAAATTCCAATCTCTCACATTGCAATCCAAAAATTATCTCACAAGTTACTTTCGAGTTTCATCTTTGACTCTCAACACCACAATATGATCGGTGCTCTGCCTGAAATCGCTGTCGCCTTTAAGCCTCTACGAATCGCAGCTTTCCATCCTCTGGTGCCTAAATCTTATAATAATTTTCTATGGGAATAATATATAGTGTCACTTTGTAATTCCGGATTTGTAATTTGTAGTTTGTTAAATCTTTGTAATTTATAATTTTGTATTCCTCCTCATTCTTGAATTGTGGTCGTTTTGAATCCAAATTATTGATTTCTTTGTTCATTGTTTGCTGCCCATTCTTTATAAGTTACAATGCAATGTTATTTAAAAGTCCAAATCGAGAAATCAAACCAAACAAAACCGAACCAAAGTGATTTGGATTGGTTCGATTTAAGAGATAGAGTGGGTTGACTTTGGTTTTAATTTCACTCAAACTGACTACTTTGATTTGGTTTTGGGTTGAAATCGAAACCAACCCAAATCAAACCACGCCCTGAACGGATTCAGGGTGGGGCATCCTCGTCCCACCCCGCCCCTCCAATTCGTTCGGGGTGAGTTTTTTTGCCCCATTCGGGGGGTGGGCGGGTTTTTTGCCAGCACTAAATAGCTCGGGGATTCAAAACCCCGCATTTAAAGATTAGGGACTCATAATCATACCAGGTAAAAGGTTGGGGAGCTTGGACCTAATTTACCCCGCCGAAATTGTCTTGCTGTTCTCGAGTGCAACGACACCGTTTCAGGAGTTTGGAGACCAAGAGACGCATCAAATCTTCTGCCTTCTCTCTCTATTTTCAAATTCGAGCTTGATCGCATCAAGAATTCGCCACTCCATCTAATCGCAAGTAAACATCTCATTCTGATTTGCATTTTTTCCTGAAATTTATACCTCTAATTATTTTTAGCTTTAATTTTTTAATTTTTTTCTGGGAGGCTAGGGTTTACGTCACTGGATCTTTACTAATTTTATGATTGCGTTTTATATAATTTTTGCATCAAATTAACTGAATTTATTATCTCTAAACCCTAATCCCAAATTTTATAGCGTCTAATGTATGAGAGATATTCTTCAGATAATCATCTTTTTCTTTATTCAACTTGAAATAGAGCTTGTAATTTTATGTGTATTTGAAGATGGATAATGCTGTGGAAGAGTTTAACACAGTAAAAGTAGATTATTTCTATCTAAAGGTATTGTTCTGTGTATAATCATATAGCAATTAGATTCAGGTTGGAATGTCCCCAAGTGTTGTGTGAGGTACTGTGAGTTCATGTGGAAGCTTGAGTTGGTGACTGTTTTCTTGGGACTACAGTTTCAAGTTGGACCAGATCTTATGATAAGCTAGTGTATATATGGAGGGGAAGCCTTAGGGTCTTCCTTCATTTTATATAGACAGGGATTGTATTGTAGTGCCCTGAAATGCTGGGGTCGTGTTATGCTTATTCCATGGACACAATATATGCCTTTCATGCATATGGTAGGGTCATAAAGTGCACAATCTGTAGTTAATAGATTATTCTCTGCTTCTGTGATATGGTTGAAGCAAAATATTGGATTTCTTGATCACTATACCATGTTCTTCTTGGGGAAACGCAGTCATTATCTTTGCGATTTCGTTGAATTCAGGTGATAATAAACTTTATTATTCCAGACTTTGCAGCTTGACGCTTCAATTCAAGCTTTATCAGATCCTGGGGCCAAATCATGGTACTCCCATTCCGTGGAACGCTTCTCCCTTTTCTAGCTATATGCAATGGATACATGATTATTTTATTAAATGTTTTGACGACCTGTAGAGCTCAACCTTCTTTGTTGTTGTTGTTGTGTCCTCATAATTTTGTGTACTTGTTTCCAAAGGGCACAACCGAAACCAACCCCCCCCCCCCCTCCCCCAAAAAAAAAAAAAAGAAAAATCCAATTTGCTGCATGCAAAAAATATGGTTTATTATGTTGATTACTGGGTCTTTGTTCCTGCTAGCTGTCAACTACTGAATTGAAATGTGTTTGTTACTTGCTTCACAGCCTGGTATGATGACAATTCTATTTACATACCAATAATCTGCCAGGAGATAGAAAATTTGTTTATATCTTGTTTGCAACTTAACTTTCAAATATAGATAGTTTATGCAGTGTCTATGTCTATTGTGAGTTTTGCTGTTTGCTTCATAGTCTGTCCATTTTGTTCAACCTTACAGTTTATGCTTTTTTGACCGTCCTATGTTTATTTGATGTATTGTCAGATTAAGATGTCCTATGTTTATTTGATGTATTGTCAGATTAAGATTTTGACTACGGAGTTAAATGCAGAAAACAGTGTACTGACAAGTTTTTGCACATGACAGTTTATGAGTTCCTAATTGGGTCTTTTACCCCTAATGGCAGGACCACAACCATTTAAACGATGACAAGTGTGAAAGCAGGCTTTACATTGGTAACCTTGATCTGAGGATAACTGAGTAAGGGAACACATTTTAATCAAGTTATTTGTTGAACTTTTAAATAGAACAATGTAATTTCTGCCCTATAGGAGCTTTCATTTAATAAATATTTTTGTATTGATGTAGGGCTGCTCTTATTAAGATGTTTTCTCCATTTGGAAAGATTGTATCAGAAGACTTTCTTTGGCATAATCGTGGCCCAAAGCGTGGAGAACCTCGTGGCTATGCTTTTATCCAGTTCAGCACCAAAGAGGTAAGTTGCTCAATACTTTTAGGGAAAATTGCACCATTAGTCACAACTAATGGCTCAAGTCACAAGATGGTCATAATCATTTCATTATGGTTGCGCAGTCAATCATATCTCTGCTAAATAGTCTGGTGGCTCTCATGTAAACATGCCTTATTTCAAAATTCTACTCACCAGCCATGTTGGGAAACAAATCATAGTTATGTATGTAATTGAACGTGTGAGATCCCAAATCTTTTGAAATTTAAAAGGTTAAGTCGTTACCAAAAGATACTTTTAAAAATAAATGGATTTATGAGAAAGTTATCAAAGTATAATTAACATGCAATATCCAGATTGTACGAAATTCAACCTTAGAACTAAATTACTCTATGTACCCATGCGGTACATGAAAACTACCATGCACTAAATAATTGATAAAATGACACAATTAATTATAAAGAAAGTAAATAAAAGATGTCTAAATATTTAAAATTTACGCCTAAACGAATTTGATGTCTAACTAATCATAACCTAAGTAATATAGAGATCAACTCATTTATTTGTAATAAATTGAATTGATTAACCTGTAACCAGTATCTTTACAATAATAATTAAAAATCTAGTCTCGACAAAATGATTGATACGCTAATTAATAAAACACGTCAAAGACTTTTCACTAATGACAAAATTTACAACCAACTATAATTTTTATTCTTTTTTTTTTTTTTCAAATTTCTGTTCACGTGAACAGTACTGTTCACGTATGACGTCACCGTTCATCGTGAACAGTAATTACTGTTCACTCATTATTTTATTTTTTTAATTTTTTTTTTACATCCTATTTATACTTATGCGATGAGTAGAAAACGTGACATCACTTTAACCCAATTAATACCATCAATTTGGGTCTCATTAATTACACATGCATGGCCTCAATCAATTACCCATCTTGAAAAGAAACAACTTGACGTACAGTACACCCAAAATTCTCAATTCATGTGATAAGATCAACGATACTTTATTATGTGTTATTCTGAATAATTGATTGTGAATAAAATTTTGGTTCCATCAATATAAAATAATGAAAATAAACCATAAAAACATATAAAAAAAAAAACTGTATCCCAAATTTTGAATCACAGATCCACATAATAATAAAATTAAAACAAAAGCTAAAAATAAAATCTTTGGTCACGTTATGCTGGATTTGATTTATTATCCCAAACATCTTGGCACTACGACTGCACCACACCGCCAGCCAGCCAACCAACGACCCAATCTAACCTGTAAGGTGTAGGAAAAAGGGTGAGTACATGGGAATACTCAGTAGGGTACGAGTAATTGTGCAATCCTAATTAAAAGTATTAAATCACGCGTCAAAATAATCATACCGTCATATCATATCTTTAGAACCGATAAGAGCTCATATTATATCATATCTTTGATACCGGATGACCATAACATACATATCATAATCATATTATATCACATCATAACTTTTATAAGTATAACATTTATCAACATGAAGAAATAATTTAAATGGGACGAACCACTTGCACCTCGTAATCCTACATTGATTTAATTTGTGGAGGACAAAACAATAAAATCTCGTTTTTCTTTCTTTTCTACCTCTGCTGTATTTTTTGTGCTTGCATATAATTTTTGTGTGTGTCCCCTTCATTATACATGTATCTATATACCTAGTTAATAATAACCTACCCTCAAGAGTTGTTACGTAGTGGGAGACGTGTGCTTAATTGGATAAAGTTGAGGAAAAAGAATCTGAAACAAATCTAAACAAAAAGATTTCTACATGTGTCAATTTGAAATCTCCAATTAAAACATTTCCATACACGTGATGTCATCCACATTCATTCAAAGTCTAACTAAGGTAAGATAAAGTAGAATAAATAAATATATAAAAAGATAAAACAAAAGTGGAATAACTTTTTCTCTCTCTCACACTCACGTGAATAACAATTCAAATCCATAAATCAATAATAATAAAATAATAATTTAAGGTTATATATTTCAACGTCGATAACTTAGGCTCCGCTAATCCAAATTAACTTTTTCTCGAGCCAAAAATGCGTCTTTAATTACGATCTATCCAACAAGCCCAATATCCGAATACTTATTATTGTCCCGTCAAAATATATATTTTAAGCCCAATAAAATTAAAATTTACCTTATATATACATTAGTCCCTAAACTTTCAAAACATTAAAATATAACATAAAAAAATTAAATTATATTCTATGAAATTTCTGGACATTATGCCTAATTATAAAAAGAAAAAAACTAGCGTCCGACCCAGGCCAAATCCAGCAGTGGTGTTTTATCATTCATGCATGACATCTACGGTCAAGATTTCAAACATGCTCTTCAATCCAACGGCACTTGTCATCTTAGGGCTTCCCATGAAAACCTCAAATCCTCTCTTTCAGCCTCCACACACTCCTTGTCTCTCAAGAACTCAGATTCACGGATACATATACATACCTATATCCATATCTATAGATATATAGCTATATTTCATTAGTATATACTGGTAAAAGATGTTATGCCTAATTATAAAAAGAAAAAAACTGGCGGCCGACCCAGGCCAAATCCAGCAGTGGTGTTTTATCATTCATGCATGACATCTACGGTCAAGATTGCAAACATGCTCTTCAATCCAACGGCACGTGTCATCTCAGGGCTTCCCATGAAAACCTCAAATCCTCTCTTTCAGCCTCCACACACTCCTTGTCTCTCAAGAACTCAGATTCACGGATACATATACATACCTATATCCATATCTATAGATATATAGCTATATTTCATTAGTATATACTGGTAAAAATAATAAATGTCCCGAAATTTCATAGAATATAATTTAATTTTTTAATGCTATATTTTAATGTTTTGAAAGTTTAGGGACTAATGTATATATAAGGTAAATTTTAATTTTATTGGGCTTAAAATGTAGATTTTGACGGGACGATAACAAGTATACGAATATTGGCCTTGTTGGATAGATAGGAATTAAAGACGCATTTTAGGCTCGAGAAAATATTATTTTGGATTAGCGGAGCCTAAGTTATCGATGTTTGAAGATATAAACTTAAATTATTATTTTATTATTATTGATTTATGGATTTGAATTGTTATTCACGTGAGAGAGAGAGAGAGAGAGAGAGAGAGAGAGAGAGAGAGAGAGAGAGAGAAAAGTTATTTCACTTTTGTTTTATCTTTTTATATATTTATTTATTCTACTTTATCTTATCTTAGTTAGACTTTGAATGAATGTGGGTGACATCACGTGTATGGGAAGGTCTTAATTGGAGATTTCAAATTGACACATGTAGAAATCTTTTTGTTTAGATTTTTTTCAAATTCTTTTTCCTCAATTTTATCCAATTAAGCACACGTCTCCCACTACGTAACAACTCTTAAGGGTAGGTTATTATTGACTAGGTATATGGATACATGTATAATGCAGGGGACACACACAAAAATTATATGCAAGCACAGAAAATACAGCAGAGGCAGAAAAGAAAGAACGAGATTTTATTGTTTTGTCCTCCAAAAATTAAATCAATGTAGGATTACGAGGTGCAAGTGGTTCGTCCCATTTAAATTATTATTTTTATGTTGATAAATGTTATACTTATGAAAGTTATGATGTGATATAATATGATTATGATATGTATGTTATGGTCATCCGGTACCAAAGATATGATATGAGCTCTTATCGGTTCTAAAGATATAATATGACGGTATGATTATTTTGACGCGTGATTTAATACTTTTAATTGGGATTGTACAATTACTCGTACCTTACTGAGTATTCTCACGTACTCACTCTTTTTCCTACACCTTACATGTTAGATTGGGTTGTTGGTTGGCTGGCGGTGTGGTGCAGTCGTAGTGCCAAGATATTTGGGATAATAAATCAAATCCAGCGTAACGTCACCAAAGATTTTATTTTTAGCTTTTGTTTTAATTTTATTATTATGTGGATTTGTGATTCAAGATTTGGGATACAGTTTTTTTTTTGATATGTTTTTACGGTTTATTTTCATTATTTTATATTGGTGGAACCAAAACTTTATTCACAATCAATTATTCAGAATAACACATAATAGAGTATGGTTGATCTTATCACACATGAATTGAGAATTTTGGGTGTACTGTACGTCAAGTTGTTTCTTTTCAAGATGGGTAATTGATTGAGGCCATGCATGTGTAATTAATGAGACCCAAATTGATAGTATTAATTGGGTGAAAGTGATGTCACATTTTCTACTCACTGCATAAGTATAAATAGGATGTAAAAAAAAAAATAATAAATAAATAAAATAATGAGTGAACAGTGACGTCATACGTGAACAGAAATTTAAAAAAAGAATAAAAATTATAATTGGGTGTAAATTTTGCCATTAGTGAAAAGTCTTTGACATGTTTTATTAATTAGTGTATCAATCATTTTGTCGAGACTATATTTTTAATTATTATTGTAAAGATACTGATTACAGGTTAATCAATTCAATTTATTATAAATAAATGAGTTGATCTCTATATTACTTAGGTTATGATTAGTGAGACGTCAAATTTGTTTAGGCGTAAATTTTAAATATTTAGACATCTTTTATTTACTTTCTTTATAATTAATTGTGTCATTTTATCAATTATTTAGTGCATGGTAGTTTTCATGTACCGCATGGGTACATAGAGTAATTTAGTTCTAAGGTTGAATTTCGTACAATCTGGATATTGCATGTAAATTATACTTTGATAACTTTATCATAAATCCATTTATTTTTAAAAGTATCTTTTGGTAACGACTTAACCTTTTAAATTTCAAAAGATTTGGGTCGTTACAAGCCATGTTGGGAAACAAATCATAGTGATGTATGTAATTGAACGTGTGAGGTCCCCACGACCATTTAATGGAGATTTGGATGATTGTGTTGTTGGGAAATATTATGCTGTTATAATGAAATTTTTGGGATCAATTTGCTCCGTTCAAGGTTGAGGAGCAACTTGCTACTCGTGCAATATATAGACCATAATGCAATTTTCTCGTGTGTTTGTCTTTATCTAGTAGCAATTCCTGATTCCTGCTTTTAAAGTAAGTATGCAGGAGGCTGAATTGGCCAAGGAGAAGATGCATGGGAGAATGGCTTGTGGCCGCCCTTTGGTTGTTCGTCTCGCCAGCGAGAAGTACACGAGCGAAGTAGCGGCTAATTCTTCCAAGGCTGTTGGTGATGCAAGCAGATCAAGCCTTTCTGCTAGCGGTTCAGGACAAATCAGTCGAAGTGCTAAAATAGCTGCAATAAAGAACAAGTTAAAGGCCATGGAGGAAGAGAGCCATAACTCCAAAAAACAGAAGCAGGGTGACGTCTCTACTAATAATCTTGAAAGCCCTTCATCTGTGAAAAGATAGTAGACTAAAGAAACTAATATGGCATCCTTGTCCATCTTTGCTTCATGTCATGTCTAAGGATTTAATGAATACCCAGATTCTGTGTATATACACTTTCAAGTCACGGGAAATTATTGACTTTGTAACTCAATTTAGAAAGCAGAAATTCTTGACATTAGATTCGGCGCATCACATATTTACATTACATTATTACTAACGACTGTAATGGTTTTAGGAATTTGTCTTTGGTTCGATGGGCTCTCCTGATCTTATTACTATCACAGTAGAGAGAGATGGTTAATAGTTTTGGATACTAGTTTATCATTCTCGATATTTCTTTTGAAGAGGCTGTCTTGAGATTCATGTTGGGTCGATACCATCTACCTCCTGCAGGGTGTGGGGTGGGGGTTATTGAGTAAACGTTGACCCTCTAGTCGTCTTGATTATGAAATAAATAATTTAATGTTGAAGAGCTTCGTTCAACTTCTTAATTTTACCTGTTTAATGAACAATGGCATTCTAAGATGAATAATGAATATTTTTAAGGGTATTGTTACATATACACCTTTGATGAACATAATGCATTATACCCTCTTACATGGCAGCGGCCTCGCATATAATTTATTGTATAGGGAGCCTCCACCATACGAAAGAGGTGTAATTCATTATGTACCCCAAAAATTTATAAGTAGAATTATTCTATTTTCAAATATACCACCATCTTAAGACATATCAAGGGTAAATTTTGTATCTACTCCAAAAGCACAACACGTGTCTACCTACACGGGTTTTGGACAGAATCGAAGCAGCCCAATTAATTTGACCTTCTAAATAGAAGCTGTACTACTAGCAATGGATTGGGCCGTGCCCACACAACGTTGTCATTTGACAACTTATGATCACTCTCAGCTGAAATCTTGTGCTTTTCTCACCACTTTGTTCAATAGAATATTCCAATGACCATACAACACCAGGTATGAAAGCAGTATTCATGTAGGTTTTTAAGAATATGTTTTGTGAAAATAATATTTTTTAAGAATGTGTGGTTCAAAAGTAAGAAAAATTATTAATCTACATGTAAAATTATCGAATTAAAGAATATAATTAACAATGAATTTTAAAAAATCTCTACCAAATATGGGCTAAATAAATTACTCTCCAACCTTAGCACTGTCGCCAAAGCATAGCATAACTGCGAAAGCTCGTCGTCAATGGCATCGCTTGCAGTGCCTTTGCACCTTACCACTCTTCCATCTTCCTCATTTTCACCATTAGTTCAACGGACAACTCTCTGTACCTCCTCAATTAATTGATACATTTAGGTTTTGATTATTTAGACGTGATGTTACATTTTTAGAGGTCAATCTTATTAAATAAGATCAAGTTGTGTAAATATTATATAATTATCTATTGTAGAATTCAACCTACCATGTCTGCATAAGACGGTGACTTATTTGAAAAACCGCGTACCCTACTTGTGCATTAAAATGGTGAGATTTATGAAGTGTGCGGATAGAAATGATATATAGCCCTCGTTTGGCTCTCATTCTTTCCAAATTTTAATGGTTGGAATAGTATTTTTTCGAAAAATGTGTGATTGAAGAAGAATTAAAATTTTTTTATTTGCGTGTAATATTATTTTACAGAATATTGTGTAGTTGAAAACAAGAGAGAGAAAAAGAATGAGAATGAGAATGAGAGCCAAACGGGGGCATAATCAACTTATAAGCTTGAAAAAAATTACCAAACATACTCTAAAAAACTTGAAATTCTATTTTAAAATGTCAATATTATTAAGACGAGTAACTTTATTCAATGCGGGTTATACCATTAAATTGCTGTGGTCGGTCTCACGGTTTTAGGAAACAACGATTGTTCATATTGTGGTTAAAAATAATGCAGTATAATAGAGAAGTTGCTACCGGTGTTGAAAGAGTGATGCCATTTATCTCCATTAGAGAGGATCACTAATAAGTGTGTTTTACATACATATTTAAAACATAAAAATATGCTTAATTGGAATTAGTCGAGAAAATTTCTGCTTATTTTAGATTATAATTTGCTTTTATAATGAAAACTCTCAATTTGAAGATAATTGATGCAAAAGGAAGGGAGTTGGGGGCATAAAAGAATCAAAAGAAGCAAAACAAACTATATGCTGAGCATGCGATGAAATTAGAGGATAAGAGTTTAGTAAAAAGATCTTCACAGGTAAGATAATATTTCATTAAAAAAAATTGAATTTAAAGTTTAATAAAGAAAATGAATCGCTGCCATTTGGAATTGTTGATCAAAAGTTTTGTGTATTTAAAGTTGAATTGCCGATGACCAATATTGTCCGAGTCATGGATTTCTAGGACATAGCAAACCATGACTTTAAAGTGGGGGCAAATTTGATACCTATAAGGCATGACTTCCAATAATCATAGAAGATTATAAATAGAATCGTGCTATGGGTACAACATTTTTCATAGCAAACACACATGTAAGGGGTGGGGTCCATGATTAAAATAATCGCGGACCCTACATTTGTGTGGAAGCTGTGAGGGAAATGTTGTACAATCAGCAATTCAATAAAGCTAATTTAGGTCAAACAAAAGGGAATTCCATGTCATTATAAATCAAATTCTTGTGAGCAAAATTACAAGAGATCATTGGCAGACTTGGATAATTTTTTAAAACGAAGAAGGTATTTTTCTAAAATTATTAAAAAGATTTTAAATATTAAGGGTTGTATCCTTCTTTTCTTCCAAATTATTAGGATTATGTATTATTATTTTATCTCGTACTTTCTTTATCAGAATATGATAAGACTAAACCTTTGTTGTTAGGGTTTTGAGCGAAACTTTGTTAATTGATCGATAAATCGCACGATTTTAGTTTAAGTTCTTGTTGTTTGATTGATTGTTATTCAATTCACTATCATCCTATTATTTGGACAATTTTAGGATTATTTTTGGGATATTTCTAGCTCAAATTACAAACAACACTAGGTATGATATATGCCTATACTTATGCAATCTCAACGATATTCTAGTGTTGTCTTACATTTTTATCTATTTACATCATTCATAGAGATTTAATTTGGTTAGACGTAAAATTAGAGTAGATTATCTCGGAAAAGAAAATTAAAATATAATGAATATCATTTGTCAAAATAAAGTAAGAATAATTCAATAACGGGGTAAATGGCGATTAAAGTATGTTAACAATGATGAATTTTAGATCCTTTTGTGACTTGATTAAATTCTTAAATTTATTTGATAGTTAGAATAACAAAAAATTAATCTCAAAATAATTAATTGATTGTGTTCCAAACTGGAGTTAATTTTAATTGGTAGTGAACTACCGCAAACCCGTAATCGAAATAGAGATTTTGAAACATTCGGTTTTGGTCTTCGTGATTTTGTTTTTAAAGTTAAAAATCACTTAAAATCAAATCGAACTATTCACCTAATTTTAAAAAACAATTACTTGTTTTATTCAAGATATGTTATTCTTAGATATATTTATGTGCTTGTTTGGTAGGAATTTTGATAATTGATTTTTTGATCATTGGAAATAAAGTGGGTCCTACTTGTAAGAGAAAGTTTCGAAAAAGACAACTGGAATAGTGAAATAACGGTCAAAAAATTGATTTTAATTGGCATTTAAATTGTACCAAACAAGCTGTACACTTCAACAAATTTATTTGCTAGTCAACTTTCATTTACTCCTTAAGAAAATAATGATTTATTTATGATAATACTTTTCTAACCGAAAGAATGAAATTGAAAGGTGATGAGTGATTTACACTCATTATATTATGCCATTAATTTCATGATTTTGCTATCTTGGAGAGTATTTTAGAAGTGCTAACAAGTGATTTTGGTGTTGTTTTGTAGATTGATGAAATTGGAGAAAACAAGAGCTAAAAGAGGTCAAAGGAAATAAATAAGCAAAAGCTAGCGAAATTGGATGAAATGATCAGAACGTAAGAGATTCAAAGTTCGAGGATTAAAATGCAATTAATCAAAAGTCGTGTCGAAACTTGAAATGAAGGTCTGAGAGTTCTAGAAGCCAACTGAATGAAGGAAGGTGTCAAAGGGATCAAATTTAGTCAAGATATGATCATAAATCATTTTCCAACCAAAAAAGTTTTGCGCTGGAGTTTTTGTCTCACATTTAGACTCATTTTTGATATAGAAAACGATCTAATTGGAGAATGATTCCTGAAGCAAAATTGTAGTCCTTTGAATTAGCTTTCCAACGCATCTTGAATCATTTCAATCGGATATTGAACAGAAAAGTTATAATAAAAATACTGAAAGCTGTCCAGTGCAACCGAAGTAGTCCTCAGCGCTCAGGCGCTATCCCTCAGCGCCCAGGCGCCATGATGCTGAAATTTTGACAGAAGGTTAGCGCCTAGGCGTCCAAATCGCAGCGCCCAGGCGCCGTCGTGCGAGAGTAATTTTTTTAGATTTTTACCATTCTTTTTCGGCCCAACTCATCTCCAAATCTTTCCCAAAACTCCAAGACATTGTAAACATAGAATTAAAGACTTAAATGAGGGGGGAGCCGCACACTAAAAATCTATGGAATCAAGCCACGCGTTCTTGACGTATTGGAGAGAAAAACAACAAGGAGGGAGATTCAAGGGAGAAATTTAAAAAGATTAACACCAAGAATTGAAGATTGGAAGCATTTATTGAAAGAGGAAGGAGATCTTGGTGCAAGAATTTCACTTTTTCTTCTACATCTTTATTTCAAACTCGGTGATGTATTCTAAGACAATTTCCTACTTTTCTTCCATTATTATGAATAGTTAAATTTGATTTTAGGGCGAACAATGTAATCTTTTGGAATCTTTTATTTCATGCAATTGAGATTCTAGTGCTTTTATATTTCATGTGTTGATTTTAATGTTGTTCTTAATACATTTAATTACTTGATCACTAATTAGATGATTTGTGAACAATGATTGCGTAGAGATGCGGATTATTTGTTTAGACCACATGTTAAAATTCGGTAAATTGATATAATGTGTAGAGATACCTATATTGATTATTGCGGTCGTGTGTGAATTCTCAGAACCAATGTTTTGTTTAATTAAGTTTAATTTGCATAGAGATATGGAATTAAACTAATTAAATAGGCTCAATGAGAACTCGAGAGGGGTAAGTTGAATACAATAGAAGA